AGGCACCCCACTCCCTGTCCAATTTACCGTCCTTCAAGGCTGACCAGGCTGTGCGCCCAGGGCCGAGGAGGGGGTAAGGAGTGTGGGGAGGGCCGGGAACTTTTCCGGGAAGCGACTCAGCAGGGTCTTGGCTGGAGGCCCTGTTAGCCACGGCCCAGGACCCCGGGGTGGGAGAGGGAACAGAAAGGTGCTGCGCCTGGAGCGGCTGCAAAACCCGTCATGAGGAAGAAACTGAGCGCAGAGGCTCTTGGTGGAGGGGCCCTCTCCCGTCCCTCACTCAGGTGCCGGGGCCGAAACGGGGTCCAGTTCCACGGCGGAGGGATGGGGACTGAAAGCAGTGTGGGCCACACACCCCGCCTTTCCAGTCTCCTGGGCGGGGGGCGGACGCGGGTGGAGGGAGTGGTTCGGCGGTCCGGCCAGGCCGAGACGGGGAGAGGGGTCGGCCCGGCGGCTCTGCCTCCCCTGGAAGTGGGGCCCGGCCCCGTCCAAGGTGGGGAACGGGCAGGCCTCCCCTCCCTCGCGCCTATGGGGACCCTCCGCCCGTGTCCGGAGGAGGCCGGAGTCCGGCAGATGCACGCGGGGCGGGGGGGCGAGCGGGGGAGAGGCGGGGAGGAGAAACCCCACAACAAAACTTGCGTCGCCGAGCGCACGGCGGGACTTGAATGGAAGGAGCCCGCGGAGCGCGGCGGAGCGTCTGGAGAGCGCGTTCGGCCGGCGGGGCGCGGCGGGGCGCGGGGACGCAGCAGGTAGGGGGCGGGGGGCGGGGGGCGGGGGCAGGGGGAAGGGGTCGGGGGGTCGGGCCGAGCCGGGCAGCTGACGCGGACTCCCCGCCGGGTTGGGACCGCCGCGTCTCGCCCCGCGGAGCGCGGCACGGCGGGAGGGGCGGGCGGCTCCCCCTGGGGTGCGACCCCTCCGCGGCCGGCTCTGGCGGGGCCTGTGCTCCGCTCCGGCCGGAGGCTGGTCCCAGCCCGGCCCCTCCCGCCGCGCACATCTGGAAAGAATCTGAGGGCGGCCGGGCGGGGGATGGAAGGACGCGGCGGGCGGCCGAGAGTGCGAGGGGCAGGTGGAGCCGGGGCGGGGCGGGTGAAGCCGGGGCGGGGCGCGGACCCCTGACCTCGAGCCGGGGCGCAGTCACCTCGTGTCTCTTCACGTCACTCATCCCAGCCAGCCCCCCTACGACCTCTTCACAGACCCAGAAACCGAGGCCTGGCGCGGGGCAGAGACCCTCCCGGGGCGCCGACAGGTGAGGCGCAGCCCGCGCCGCCACCCCCGGACCCGCTCGGGGCTCGGCTCCCGGCCCGGCGCCGGGCACTCGCTGAGCGGGGCTCTCCGCCGCGGGCCAGGTGTCCGCCCGTCGTCTAGCGGCTGCTCCCCGCGGGGACAGCGGGATGGAGGAGGGGACGCGAGGGCGGGCGGGGGAGCGGCGCCTCTCGCTAATGCGGCGAAAGCCCCGGCTGGAGGTCCCGGAACCGCCAGCCTGGCCCGGGGCGGGACGGGACGCGGCGTTAGGATACCTGGTGCGTCCGGGGGCAGACGTGGTGGTGGCAGCGGCTCCTGGTGGCCCGGGGGCTGCGGGTGGGAGGCAGCTGCGGCCCGAACTGCCGGAGAGGAGCCGGGGCGGGTGTGCGCGCGGCGCCGACGGTCCGGCTGTGGGAGACGCAGAGGGAGGGATGCGCGCCGGCGCTGCGTGGGCATCTCCAACTACGGGGGCCGCGCACCCTGCGCGTCAGCCCTCGGCCCTCACGGCCAGGGAAAGTGAGGCTGGGCGGACTAGTCCCCTTTGAAGGCCCAGGGCCCCATGCACTCTAGCCTAGATGTCAGATTCCCATGCCTTCGCGGGAGCTTGTGGGAGCTCACTGTGTCCCTTTACCTGGATTTGGTTAGGGTGATGGATGGCGGCACCTTTAGGCCTGGCAGAGCCTTGCGTAAGAGCTCTGACCATGACCGGCCTGGAATCTTGATGGCGCCCTGTCACCAACCCCTTAGCACAGTGGCGGATGCACTGGGAGACCTGGACCTGCACCCTGTGGACCCTCCTTAAGCATACCGCCCTCCGCCCCACCCCCACACGTGCCTTTGCGCTGCCCCTCCGCCTGTCTGGAGTGCCTTTCCCCACCTTTCCACCTGGGGAACTCATACTCAGCTGTCAAGACCAGCTCAAGGCTCTTGGCAGGAGTCAGAAGACACCAATTCTAGTCCCGGTCTTGCCTGTAAACAGAGGGAATCAGACCAGATAATGCTGCAGATCTTTCCCAACTCTGCCTTTCACAAGTTCATTTCTTTATCCAGCAGACATTTCCTGAGACCCACTCCTTGTGGGCCAGGGGTGCTGTGGGAGCCCAGGTAACCCAGCCACGCGAGCAGGAGCAGCTTCCCAGATCAGGGGCGTTCGAGTAGGACTCTGCTGGAGTTCGGCAGCAATGGGCAACCCTTGCACCTCAGTTTCTTAGTCTTGGGATTTCTGTGGGAGTCGATGAGCTGTAGCTAGCTCTTCGAGGCCCAGCGCAGAGCAGTGGACCAGCGAGTCTTTACTGAATTTGAGTGGAGGAGGAGGTGGTGCTGGGGGTTGAGGCTCTGTCTCCTGATTTGGGGACCTACCCTCCCCTTCCGTCTTCTTCCTGCCTTAATCCCATACTTAGCCCTTCAGAGCATTGAGAATTGGGGTGGTGGGGCAGCGAGTCCCAGGTACACTAGCAATAACCCCGGGTGTGGATGCCACAGCTGCTGAGTGCCAGCACTAGCCGGGCATGTCATTTCAATTCATCTTCAGGAGGAGTTCCCATTGCCATTGCCCACACAGAGCTCAGAGCGTTCCCAAAGGTGTGAGCTGTTCCCAGAGGTGTGAGGGGAACTCTTCACTCAGACAAGGGGTCTGTTCTCTCTTCTTCCACGCACAGCTCCAACACGGCGGGGCACCTCGGAGGGGCCTGGGGACTTAGGTTGCTTAACATTCTTAGAACAACACCAAAAACTGAGACTCTGATGGGTCCGTGATGCAGCCAAGGCCACACAGCAAACCAGGTGGTGGAGCTGGAGTTGCCCAGGATTCCCAGGTCCTAGGGTGACTGGTCAAGCGGGAGGAGGAGGAGTGGCACTTGGGTCACCACTCTTCAAGCACTGTCTGTTCTTTTCCCTCAGACCCAGCTCCCTCTCCGCCCCTGCAGCCCAGCACCTCCCTGTGTGCCCAGATCAGGCTTAGCAGCTGTTGCCTGCACCACTGCACAGCCTCTGAAAGCTCCACACGGCCCATCCATAAGCCTGCCTACACCACACTCCTCTCCAACCGCTCCTCTCCCCAAAGATACGGGCCACTCTCCCTAATCTGGCTCTCAAGTCCCTTCTTCGCCTGGACCGTGGCCACTGTCCACTTGCATCACTCCCAGTCTCCACCCTCTCCCAGACGATGAGCTTTTTAGAGGTCATAACCTGGGCTCTCTTGTCCCCGGGCCTGTGCACCCCTTGCTTGTATCACCCTTTGCCTTTTACCTAATACTCGCATCCTTCATGTCTCCACGAGGCATCACTTCTTCTGGGAAGTCTTCTTGGCCCCAGGCAGGGTTAGGCCTCCTCTGGGTTCCCATGGACTTTAGCTTCCCTTCATCACACAATCTACACATAATGTCTAAAAAAAACATAGCGTGAGCCACAAATGCAAGCTACATATGCAATGTACAATGTTCTAGAAGCCGCAGTAAAAAGGTAAAATGAAACGGGTAAAATTAATTTTAATAACTCAGTAGGTCCAAAATATTATCATGCCATCAATAAAAAAATAAATGAGTGCCCTGGCCGGATGGCTGAGTTGGTTGGAGCATCATCCCATATACCAAAAGGTCACAGGTTTGACTCCTAGTCAGAGCACAAACCTAGGTTTTGGATTTGATCCCCAATCAGGGCATGTACGGGAGGCAACAGATCAATGTCTCTCTCTCTCTTTCTCTCCCCCTTCTTCTCTCTTTAAAAATAAATTTAAAAATATCCTCAAGTGAGGGGGGGGAAAAAAAGTAAGAAAAAAAGATAAATGAGCTATTTTATGACCATTAATATTAATAATAAGATATTTTACATTTTTTTGTACTATGTCTTTGAAACCCATGTACACTACATTTTACACATATAGCACCTCTCAGTGTAAACCAGTCACATTTTAGGAGCTCAGTAGCCACATGTGGCAGCCACATTGGATGAGTGCAAGGGTGAGCTTCTTAAGGGCAGAGCCGACCCTGAGTGGTGTGTCTTGGTCCTCAGAGCCCCGCTGTATTTTGCATTAACCATAGCATCGTGGTTAAAACCTGGGCTGGGAGCTCAGCTTTGCCATTTAACAGCTGTGTTACATTGGCCACTCCCACTGGGCCTCCGCTCCCTCATCTATAAAGTGGTGATGATAACATTTTCAATATGGCCCATAATGTTAACATGAATTACATAGTTTTACAGATACAGTTTACAGACCTATACAGACACAAAACCGAAGGAGGGAGATAGCTGGTCCGTGAGTGCACAGGGTGCGTGGAGAGCCTCCTTTCCCCTGGCCTTTTGCCCTGATTGAATTTGGGGCCTGAGCCTGTGCCCCCCTCCCCCTCCCAGAGTCCTGTTCTGAGCAGAGTCAGACAGATTAATGCTGGTGGACCCAGGGACTGAAGGCTGTTGAGCTTGCTGGGGGTTATACTGTGCCAAGGGAATGACGGTCTGTAGACTGGCTGAGGATCTATTGTCCATTTGGTCAGGGGATGGGGGCAGCAAGTACGTGGTAGGGTGGGCATAGGGCCAGGCTGCAGCCTAGGACTCTGTGTGTGCAGGGCTCCCTGGCTCTCTTCCAGGCCAGGGCTGGGGCCCAAGTCTGCTTAGGCCTTGGGGACCTATAGGGTCAAGCAAGCCTGATTGCCACCCTTCTTCTCTCTCCTCACACCTTTCAAATCTTCTGGGAGGAGGTGGGCCTGGAACCGGACCACAAAGCACAATAGGGAAGGGTAAAAAGCAGGGGGTTCTAGAGTGGCAAGGGTGTGGCTGAAACGTGAACAAGGCCCACAGATCAGATGTTAATGGTGGGAAGAGCTAACATTTATTGAGCACTTACTGAGTGCAGTGTGCTCATCCCACTGAATCTCACACTCTTCCCCTTAGGACATCCCCGTTACCAGCTCAGGGACAGGTAAGTAAGCTGGGGTTTAGAGGGTGACAGCACTCGCCCAAAGCCCCACAGCTGGTAAGAGCCAGGGCTGAGCTTGCAGCCAGCTGTCTGGCTCCAGAGCCCGCCTTCTTAACCAGACATCCGTGTCCTCATCAAGCTTCCAGTTTACCTCCCAGGCCCACCATCTCGTCAGACCCTACTAAGGGCTCAGACTGAGGAGCAGTGGCCCAGGCCCAGATACTTGCCGCAGACCTGCGCTTGTATTCGCTGCAGACTGAGAGCAGCACATCACCTGAGAGATGCCAGGTGCTTTGCGGCTGTTACTTATGGACTCCTCGCAGAAGCTGAGGTTCAGCAAGGTCAGAGCTGTTAAGTGGAGGATGGTGACTTGAACTAGGGTGGGTGGGACTCCACCATCAGTGTACAGGAGCTACCACCCCCCACAACTGATCACCCGCCCCAGAGAGGTTTTCTGAGTGAGAGGACTCCTGGGGCCAGCCCCACCCATGGGCTGTTGGGACAATGGAACCAGCATCTTCCTCAATGGCCTGAAGCTATCCTCTAGGTCCCCTCCCTGCTGCCCCAGGAGACCATGCTGGGAGTGGTCTCCTGCAGGTGGTAGTGGTCCTGTGAGCACAGCAGGCCCTGGTGAGGGCAGCTGAGGGTCCAACACCAGGAATGGGACTTGGGAGGTTCTAGAGGCAGCAGCAGCTCCAGTCACTGATGCTTACTCTGCGCCCAGCTGCCTGGGTTTCCACCCAGACTCGCCCTGCTGTGGGAGAAAGACACCATTATGTATTCATAACCCAACCCAATTCATGCCAAGGGGGGCGGGGGAGGACACAGTAATGGGGCATTTCAGAGTCTTCCCAGGGGACACAGTGCTGGAATTGGTTCTTGGAGAGCTTGGTGATTGCACAAGAGAGGGGAGGGCATTCCAGGAAAAAGGAACAAGGCCTGGAGGGAGGAACTACTAAATAGACTTGTATACTTAGGGCAGGTGGGTGGAGAGTTGGAAGACTGGCAAGGCCAAGATCTGAGGATCCTAGAATGGCCAGCTGAAGAGCTGAGAGGCACCTGCTGGTCGGGCCCACCGTGGTCTGTGGCAGCTGCAGGGGGACAGGCCTCCCAGCACTGCCTGTTGGAGAGCTCAGCAAAGCCCAGGCCAAGCCCTGCACAGCACAGTGCTTCCTGGGCCTTCTGTAGAGGAGGGTACAGATTCTTTTGGGCTAGGCCTGGTGAGGGCTGTGGGAGGTTTTGCAGACCTTCACTTCACCCCCATCCCTCCCGAGGGCAACCCTGAAGGGGGGTTTGAGGGATGAGGGTGGGAACAGCAGTCACCAGATCAGATGCGTGCTGAGGACAGGATCCAGAGTGGGCTCTGCCTCGTGCCCCAAGGGCCCCATGAGGACGTTTGTGGCCCTAGCCCTGTGCCTACTGTACCTAACAGGTGAAGTCAACCCTGGTTCCCAGGTGGGTCTGACTCAACCCCTCCTGCAGGCACCATGGCCCGGAGCAGGGCGCTGCTGCTCCTGCTGCTGTTGCCTCCACAGCTGCAGCTAGGACTGGTGCTCGCGGTGAGGGCCCCTGTGTTTGGCCGAAACGGCGCCCACAACCTGAGCCCTGAAGAGAACGAATTTGTGGAGGAGGAGCCAGTGCTGGTCCTGAGGCCTGAGGAGCCGGGGCCTGGCCCAGCCACCATCAACTGCCCCCGAGATTGTGCCTGCTCCCAGGAGGGTGTCGTGGACTGTGGCGGTATCGACCTGCGCGAGTTCCCAGGGGACCTGCCTGAGCATATCAACCACCTGTCCCTGCAGGTGAGATGGGCACTGCGCCAATGGTCACCAGGGGCTGCCCCACACTCACGGCTCCTATCCCAGAACCCCCACACTCACGCTCCCTGCTTGTCCAGAACCCCCAGTGCTCCTGGCTCCCCACCCCCAGACCTGGGGTGCTAGAGCAGGTCAGACACGAGGATCTAGCTCCACGTTGAGGTGTCCCCACTCTGATCATGGTCTGGGTCACCGAGCACATGACATAACCTGCTTTGTTTCTCTGGGAGGAGTCTTGGCTGAGGCCCGTACATAGAGTCAGGCCTTGTCTGAAAATGGACACAGACGGGCCCAGCAGCTGACCCTCAGACAGCCTTGTAGGCCAGGAAAACAAGAGCAAAGTGGACCCTGATAGAGGGCTCTGGCGGCTCAGAGGACAGAGTGTTCTCTCCAGCTGAAGTCTAGGAAGTGGGACAAGCAGTTCCCAATGGGGACTGGGAGTGCTGGGGCACCCCATCACCCTGTGCTGCCCGGTACGCCTGGGGGAGGAAGGGGCTGTACATCCATTTCCAGAGGAGATCAGGTCCAGTGAGGGAAAGTGACCCGCTCACCACACAGCCCTGTGGGCCTGGGCTGGCAGAGGTGGGAGGGAAAGGGACAAGCTGATGACAACACTTATTTTTGGCTCATTCACGCACTCCTCCATTCATACAATGTCTCCTGGAAACCTGCTCTCCACCTCTGGTCCTGTGTGGGTGCTGGGCACATCGGGAGGACTCGGATGTACCCTGCCCGAGGCCCTCCCAGGTGTGGGGGAGGCAGTAAACGAAACAAGTAGAGAGGATGCTAAAAGGAGATAGAAGGACTAGTGTGAGCCCAGAGCAGCTCCTACTCTAACTCCCAATCCAACCCGGGAAGGCTTCTGGAGGAGATGGTACCACACCCAGGTTTTAAAGTGCTGCCAGGGGAGTGGGGAGCGCAGCCCAGAAAGGGAACCAAAAGTGGGCCTATGGGAGAATGGGCTGTCACCCAGTGGGACAAGTCTGAACTCCTGTGGACACCCATGTGTGGTCTTCTAGAATGTGGGACCCCCATGTTTGTTGTGGTCCCTGCTGTGCCTCTTGCAACCAGAGCCAGAGACAGCACCCAGAGCCTGTCTACCACGGGGGAGAATCCCAAGAGAAGTGCCCAACAGAGAGACTGGGGCTGAGGATGGGTTGGGCCCGCCCCCCATGCTGCCTCCTCACCACTCCCACCCCTGACCCCCAGAACAACCAGCTGGAGAAGATCTACCCAGAGGAGCTCTCCCGGCTGCATCGCCTGGAGACTCTGAACCTTCAGAACAACCGCCTGACATCCCGAGGTGAGGGGTCACCCAGAGCCGGGGCGGGGCACCGGGCAGGGGAGAGCCCCACCCTGCGGACCCCGGGTGTGGGAAAGAGCAGGTCTGGGCTGGGCGGCAGTGGGTCCTGGATGCTGCCTAAAAGCCACCCCTGAGGGTCTGGGACCTGGGAGTGGACTCAGGAGAGGATTCAAAGACCTTTGTGGTGACTCTTTGGGTCACAGAAGGACTTTAGAATCAAAGAGTTGTACAGTCCTCAAGTTTTAAGAAGTGATTCTTTTGCTGCTGATGAAAATAATTTTTATTATAATAGAAATTTTGGAAATAAAGAAAATAAAATAGAAAACAAAAAACCCAGTCAGTTCTGCCACTTGGAGTTCATCCCTATTGACATTTTGCTATACTTCTTTCCATTTTTAAAAAGCTGCTCTATTGAAGTGTAATTTGTACACCATAAGATTTACCCAATTAAAAGGTACACATTGGTGAGTCTTAGTCATTTATCCAGTTGCCCAGCCATCATCACAATCCAGTCTAGTCTCTTTTCTTTGCATTTTCTCGTTCCTGGCTGAGTTTAGAGTGTAGGCAGTGCGACGACGGTAAGTGCTTTGTTTCACTCAGCAGTGAGCTCAGCAGCATTCCTCCCGTTGCTAAAGCTCTCCGTGGCCATCTGTACACGGCAGCTCTTCCATGGGGGGATGCTGCACAGTTTACGTAACTGTTCCCTCTCGTTAGATAATTGGGTGAGTCCCAGCATCTGAGGGTCTGGGAGCCTCGGGACTGGAGAAGGGCCAGCCTGGCTGGGATCCCAGTGACGGGGAGTCCTGGCACTCCATGGGGCAGGGGCAGGCAGGTGGTGGGGAGGCTCCCAGGCTGAAACCGTGCCCTGCTTTTGATCCTGTGGGGCTGCCTCCAGGGAGCACTCCTTCCTGATTTGGAAAATGTTAGTCTGGGTTCTCCATCCCATGGCCTGACCTTCCGGGGGGCACCCATTCCCACCCGGTGGCTCATCCCTCAGTAGACACTTCCCACCTGCTTCTCTGAGCTGGGGCCCCTGTGGGTAAGGGGCTGGGAAGGCCTGTTGGGACTGGGACGAGAACAGAGCCACACCGGACTCAGGGCGCGCCCTTCCCAGTCCTGGCAAGTGGGGTGGGCTTGGGGGCTGGTGCTGGTGTGCTCCCCTGTAGCGTCTCCTTCATCCAGGGCTCTGACCGATGCCTGTCCTTTGAAGGGCTCCCCGAGGAGGCGTTTGAGCATCTGACCGACCTCAATTACCTGTACCTGGCCAATAACAAGGTGAGGGGCCTCAGCAGGGAGGAGGTGTGCTGCCCACGCCTCCTGGTGTCAGAGGCTGAGTTCAGGGAGCTTTCACCAGGACTTCTTCAGGTCCCTGTTGCTGCTCAGACATGGCCCATACCCCACACCTTAACCAGGGGCATCAGAGTGGTCAGTTAATAAAGACAGAAGCCAAGGGGGTGGGGTGATAGCGGGGCTGGTACACTAACAGGGCTTTGTGGAGATAGCATTTAAAGGGCCACGAAGGGTCAGGCAGGGGTCCTGAAGTAGAGGGACAGCATGAGAAAAGGCACAACGACACTCAGCCTCAATATATCTGGAGTGCCCAGAGCTCTGTCCTGGCCCTTCTCTCTGAACTCTCCATAATCGCCTGGTCCAGTGCAGTCTCCAGCCCCTCTCCCTCCTCCCATTTGGGCCTCAAAGATCCTTCTGCCCCCTGGACGTCTCCCCAGAGGTCTAATGGAAGTAAGACTGCTTCCTGTCCACAGATGGCTCTCCATCTCTGTGAAAGGGCATCTCCAAACACCCACAGTACCGCTAGTCTGAGTTCAAAGCCCGAGGGCTTCATTCACCTTGTCCAGCAGCACTGCAGTCCCCCCCCCCCGCTCCCCCCGCCCCCCCCCCCACTATCTCCCAACTGGCCAACCCTGCCTCCCCCTTCGCTGCCCCTTCTCCTCAGAGCAGCCACAGTGACCTTTAAGAATCGTGCCCTGCTTCTCCCCTACATCCCCCCTCCCTGCTTCAACCCTCCAGTGGCTTTGCCTTCTACCCAGAATGAAAGCCTGCTTCCCCCTGCTTCTCTTAACATAGCCCTACTCGCTCCCTCCTGCCCCTCGCCAGCCCCCGGGCCCTGCAACCCCACCCTTCACACGGGGTTTGCATGCTGCTCTGCTGCCTTGGGAGCCCTCCTCTCAGATGGCACGTACAGTGTGCCATGCCTTAAGGGTCTGTCACCTGTTCCCTGAGCACCCAACCCAGTCGTTCTGTCTTCAGCCTGTTAGAATTCCCTGCATAGCAGTGATCATTATCAGATACTTCTATCCCCTGTTTATTGTATTCTCCATGAGGATGAGGATGTAAGCTTGGGGTGGGGCAGGGTGGGGGGCAGAGGTACTTCTCTGTCTTGTTGCCCTAGATGTGCCCAGCGAGCTTCTGGAACCGTGCCTGGAATGTTGTAGACTCAGGTTCTGCTGTTGAATGAATGAAGGGTGGGCATCGTGGGCTGTGTCTGGGAAAGTGTGGGTGCTCACTGTGGCTGGGCAGCCAGTGTCGGGGGCCAGTGAGGGGAGAGAACAGGACAAGCAGGGCAGGGGACAGGCTGGTGAGCTTTGAATACCAAGCTCGGGGCTGTGGGGTGCTGCAGAGGGCCTGTGTTAGTGTTATCAGAGGAAGGGGACGGGTTTCCACTTTAGAAAGGTAGCTGTGGTTGCTGGGAGGAGACACAGGAAGAGGCCTGAATGGCAGCAGGCAGTGGGACCCAGAGCTGACCTCCTCCCCTCCATCGGTCTTTCTGCCCCAACTCTTCCCTTTCCAGCTGACCTTGGCACCCCGATTCCTGCCAAATACCCTGATCAGTGTGGACTTCGCTGCCAACTATCTCACCAAGATCTACGGGCTCACCTTTGGCCAGAAGCCAAACTTGAGGTCAGAGGTCAGAGGGGTCCCTGGGCTCAGGCTGGGGAGAGAGAGGAGCTGAGCAGAGGCTGCTACCCTGACTGAGGCAGAGAGGACCCTGATGGGCCCTGGAGGAGGGCCATGTGGGGCAGTGTGGGCCTGAGGCCCATGCTCAGGGCTGTGGTGAGAGACGCCGGGGGCTGCGGGGGCCCGGGCTCCACAGGCTGAGACCTAAAGGATGAGGAGGCAAGATGGAGGAGGGTGATGTCTGTGGAGCAGTGGGAGCTGGGTCAGGGTGCCTCCCTCCTTCCTCAGCCCCTGGGGGCAGAGCCTTGGGAGGAGTGAGCAGGGCAGGGTGGTGCTGGTGGACTGACACTCCTGGTATCACTTCTGTACCTGAATCTGTCACCTCACTCGATTCTGTCCATTCCCCTGAGGAGCCAGGGTCACTGTGTGTGGCCCCATCCCGCAGATGAAAAGGCTGAGGCCTAAGAGAGACACACAGCAAGAATGAGCTATACCTTCTGTGTATTCTTTTGGTCCTGGTCTTCTGGCCCTCTAGTATGTAACCTCCATGAAAGCAGGATCTTGTTGGTGGTGTCCACTGCTATATCTTCAGAGTCTAGAACATTCCTGGCATGTGGGGACACTCACTGTATACTTACTGAATGAATGAGGCATTACCCCCTCTGAGCTAAGCCCTGTGCTGAGCATCAGGGACAAGAGGTGTTAGGGACACGCCCCACCTTCAGGAGGTCCCACGGAACTCAGAGCCAGCTGTGTGGGTGTGACAGGCGGGGAATGACTGAGAAGCTTGAAGGGAATCGAGAAGATGGACCTGGAGTCAGGAAATCCTATTTCTGCCACTAACTTGTGGGGCAACCACTGGTGGTCCTTGGTCCCCTGAGCTGTACCGAGGGGTGGGGGGGGTGGGGGGGGGTGGGGGGGGAGACTACATTAGGTTGAGTCTGAGGTTCCTCAGATGGAAGGAAGGTGCTCTAGGCCCCAGGCCCCACCTGAGCAAGGTTTGCAGGCCCACCAGGTGAGTGGGCACTGTGGCCAGGGGTGGAGTGGGGGCCTGCGTGGGTGAGGACCTGCACCTCACCCCCAGGTCTGTGTACCTGCACAACAACAAGCTGGCAGATGCCGGGCTACCAGACAACATGTTCAACGGTTCCAGCAACGTCGAGATCCTTATTCTGTCCAGCAACTTCCTGCGCCATGTGCCCAAGCACCTGCCGCCGGCCCTCTATAAGCTGCACCTCAAGGTAGGAGGCAGAGGGCAGATGGGGCCCCTCAGAGCAGGGGCCAGAGTGGGGGAAGAGCCCACGTGGCAAGGCTGTGGGGTCTTTAGTACATGCCAGGGGGCATGGCATCCACTATAGAGAAGCAGGCAGAAGCCTGGGCACCTGGCTGTCAGAGTGCTCCGGGCCTGGGCCCAGGCCCCATGGCTCCCTCAGAGCCCTCAGAGCACTTTTGCCCCTTGGCTGTCTCATGCTCCCCTCCCCACGGCCCCTCTCCTAGAACAACAAGCTGGAGAAGATCCCGCCAGGTGCCTTCAGTGAGCTGAGCAACCTGCGGGAGCTGTACCTGCAGAACAACTACCTGACTGATGAGGGCCTGGACAATGAGACCTTCTGGTAAGCCCCCCCTCAGCGCCCCCCCAGCCAGCCCCCGCCCCCCCCCCCCCACGCCTCTCCCGCCCACCTGCCCTGGCCGGCCTCCTGGAGAAGGAACTTTGAGGCTTGTGCCTCTGCTGACATTTCTGTCCCCAAGAACAAGTGATGTGCATGGGCAAGGCTGCCAAAGTTCCAGTGAGGCAGGGAAGCGCTGGCAGAGGCCGGCTTCTTGGTACAAAAAAGAAACTCAAACATTCTTGTTGAAGGCAAATATATTTTACTTTTTATTTTAGAGTCCAAAGTAGCCCCCCCAATAAAGATCTTAAACAACTGGTCTTCAAATAAGCCTCCATGTATCAGAAACCATGCTACAGCCTTCTACCCCAAGTCATTGCTAATCCAGTGGGCCTGGAGAGGACTGAGGTCCCCCAGTAAGAACGGGGGTGAATTAGAGGCAGTTTCCCGGCCACCTCCCCTGGGGAAATGGTGGAAACCAGAGTGGGCTCCTGCTGTGTGGGCTCCTGCCAATTGCTCCATTCCCTCTCCCCCAGGAAGCTCTCCAGCCTGGAGTACCTGGATCTGTCCAGCAACAACCTGTCGCGGGTCCCGGCCGGGCTGCCGCGCAGCCTGGTGCTGCTGCACCTGGAGAAGAACGCCATCCGCAGCGTGGACGCGGACGTGCTGACCCCCATCCGCAGCCTGGAGTACCTGCTGCTGCACAGCAACCAGCTGCGCGCGCACGGCATCCACCCGCGGGCCTTCCAGGGCCTCAAGCGGCTGCACACCGTGCACCTGTACAACAACGCGCTGGAGCGCGTGCCCAGCGGCCTGCCCCGCCGCGTGCGCACCCTCATGATCCTGCACAACCAGATCACGGGCATCGGCCGCGACGACTTTGCCACCACCTACTTCCTGGAGGAGCTGAACCTCAGCTACAACCGCATCACCAGCCCGCAGGTGCACCGCGACGCCTTCCGCAAGCTGCGCCTGCTGCGCTCGCTGGACATGTCTGGCAACCGGCTGCACACGCTGCCGCCGGGGCTGCCCCGCAACGTGCATGTGCTGAAGGTCAAGCGCAATGAGCTGGCTGCCCTGGCACGCGGGGCGCTGGCCGGCATGGCCCAGCTGCGTGAGCTCTACCTCACCGGCAACCGGCTGCGCAGCCGGGCTTTGGGCCCCAGTGCCTGGGCCGACCTTGCCCATCTGCAGGTAAAAGGGGAGAGCGGGGGACTGGGCCATGAGGGAGGTACCTGCTGGGGAGGCCAGGCCTTAGGAAGGGGGGTGGGTGGGGGCGGGGCCATGCAGAGAGTATAGCTGCCATGCCCGGTAAGGAGTGAAGGGCCAAATACAACCGGTGAGGCAGGCAGAGCTCACTACCTGCAGGTACGGTCTTGAGGAGGGCTGTGGGAGTAAGGGGAGGTCATGGCTACAGGCAGAGGCCCATGGCTCAGGAGAGTCAAGCTCACCCACCCACAGGCCAGGAACATGTGCCTAGAGAAGGCTGCACTTGGGGGAGGGCAGCAAGGCGGTGAGGTGGGCTCCAGAGGCTGGGGGAGCCTACTTGAGGTGTTCTGAGCAAAGGGTATGGCTGTTGTGGTCATGGTTGGAGTCAGGCAGAATGTCTGGCCTTAAGAATTGAGCTTCTTATAATGAAACCCCCCAACCTAATGAGGGGCCGAAAGGGAACCTCATTAGAGAAACCTGGGAGGCAGGGCCAAGGTGCTGCCAGGACCCCCGGGGGCTTCAGGGCGGTGCCATGGTGAAATCTGTGCCCCGGATGTCCCAGGGCTCGCTCTTCCCTCTCAGGGATATGCTCACATGTCACCTCCTTGGGAGGCCTTTCACGCCTACCTCCTTCCTCTGCTTTGTTTTTTTTCATCACCCTCATTCCTCCCAGGCATTAGGTCATCTGTTTGCTTTCTTGTTGCCTGTTCTTTTCTCCAGAATAAAGACTGGCATTTTAGCCCTGACCCACTAGGCTCCCAGTCCATGCTTGTGGGGGCAGCTGTCAGGACAGGGATGTCTGAGTGGGGGGCAGGGAGGTGAGGCAGAGCCCTGAGGGTGGAGTAGGGTGGGAGTCTGGGAGGCAGCTGGCCCTGTAGGAGCAGCCTTAGCCGGGGTCTCCCCTCACCCCGACTGCCTGCTGAGTGCCAGGCACCAGAGTCCAGCCCCCTGGGCCAATCAGTCCCTCTCAGGTACATTCCAGAACCCTCTTCTCAAGGGGTCCAAACCTCACTGTCCTCTCCCTCACACCGGCTCCTCCTGCATTTTCTAACTCACTAAAGGGGGTGACACCACACCTGGTGCCCACGTGATACCTGGAAGCTGCCCTTGACATCCCCTTTTCACTCCGTCTGCCCCACAATGCCCCTTGTTACTATCCCCTGCCAGTCCTTCCATCACCTCTCACTCTGTCCACTTCTCTCCATCCCTGCGGCTCATAGTCCTAGCCAACCCACCTCCATTTCTTACCCGGACCCGACTGTCCTAGGAACTCTCTACTCCTGTACTCCTTATGCAATCAGAGGGTATCTTGAAAAACATATGCTCAGCTCACGCTCCTGCCCTTAGAACCCAGATCAGAATCCTTGCCACGGCCTTCAAGGCCTGCTCTGCCCTGTCCCCAGCTGAGCTTCTTATTTCCCCAGGCGTACTGGGCTTTGCTCATCCCGGCCCCTCTGCTGGCAGCACCGTGTCCACTCTGGTGATGCCTATTCACTCCTTCCACGAGTCTGTATTGAGACGCCACCATGAGCAGATGCAGTTCTAGAACTGAGGGCCCAGCAGAGAATAAGACAGATGGAGGGTCACCACTCTCCTGGAGCCGGTACTATACCCGGGACTCAGGTGTCACCTCCTCTAGAAGCCAACAGTGATGGCGGGTTAAATACCTCCCTGGGCCTGGATGAGTTCAGTCAGGGATGGGGTGTCAGTTGGGGTGACTCTTCCTCTCACTGTTGGATCTTTCTACAAGCAGCAGCTGTTCCTGCTACTTCAGAGCCCCTCCCTGCACTGGCTGCTGTCAGGGGCCCTGGCCCTAGGCTGAGTCAGGCTCCTCTTCCAGGCTCCCTGTCTTGGCCCCATTCCACTGGCTGTCATTGTCAGGTTCTGTGTCCATCCACTGGCTGTCATTGTCAGGTTCTGTGTCCGTCTCCCCTGCCGCCTGGCTTCGCGAGGGTGGAGGCAGTGTCTCAATGGGTTCCATGTCCCCAGCACCCGTGGGCACAGAGGATGTGTGGAATGATTGAAGAGGTGCTGGAGCTGTGTGCAGGGAACGCGGTGGGGAGCAGGGAGCCCTGTGTATAGAGGGGGAGATGGGTCCCTCTATGGTGTGTGAAGCTCCTGCTCCCCTTGGATGTTGAATCTGGATTCTTGGCCCTCAGCTTCCTGACCTGAGCCCCTGCCTGTTGGGGTGAGGAAGGGAGCTTGAGATGATGGAGTCCCACCCGGGCCTGCACGAGTGTGTGTTGGATGTAGGTGTGCTGGCAGCTGAGGGGCAGTGAGCTGGGCCATGCGCATCCAGGTCTCCTGCTCTCTAGGAAAACCACCCCATTTTCCTGGTTTCCTGCTTCCTAGAATGTAGGCACATGGTGACTCTGAGACTGACCCCTGCCCATATGGCCCCGGAGGTCCAGAAGTGAGAAGCCCTGCCCCTGTGGCCCTTAACTCCGCCCTCCTCTGGAACAGTAGGGCAGGATCCGTGGCCCCTGCCCTCTGGGCTCTTCAGTCTGATGGGGATGGCATGTGTGTTAGTGAGGAAGGACATCCTGGCTGTGAATCCATGTGGGAGGGCAGAAGGAGCCGGCAGAACAAGGGTTTGGAGTCAGGTGCACCAGGTTCTGGCCTTGTATAGGCTGTGTGGCCTTGGGCATATCTCTTACCCTTTGGGCCTCTTTTTCCCCGTCTGGAAAATGTGGATAGTTTTAGATCCCACCTCCCAAGGTTATGGTGAGATTTAGATGTGTTGGGGGGCAGTGTTAGTGGGGGTCTTTGCAAGTCATTAAGTGCTTTTACTTCCCTGACCACCCCTGTAGCTGCTGGACATCGCTGGGAATCAGCTCACAGAGATCCCCGGGGGACTCCCTGAGTCCCTCGAGTACCTGTACCTGCAGAACAACAAGATTAGCACCGTACCTGCCAATGCCTTCAACTCCACACCCAACCTCAAGGGGATCTTTCTCAGGTAGGAGGTCCCCTGTGGCCCCGCACGTGCCCCCTGGGGCCTGCCCTGGCTCTAGCGGGATAGTCAAGGCCCTTGGGAACAGCGCGCAGGTAGAGGTCAGTGTTCAAATCCAAGTGGTGCACTTGGGCATTATTGATGTGACTGTAGCAAGAAGGGATCCCAGAGAGCATCTTCCCATTTTACAGCTGGAAAAACTGAGGCGCAGAGAGCATCGATATGCTGTGTCCACAATTGGCTGGGCTGTGCCTGGGCTTCAGACCCAGGACAGCAGATGTTCAGGTCCTCACTGGGCTCTGGGAGTTTAGAATAATTCAGGGAGCCCAGCTCCCCAAGGAAATGGGGAGCTTCCATACAGCAGAGCCAGGGAGGTTCTTTCCAACATCCCCACCTTCCACCCCATTAAATCAGAAAGGAGAAGACATATTGGAGAAAGGCAGAATGTACACTCCCAGGGGCTTTCCCGGGCTGGGCAACATTGGGGTGGAATGTGACCTGTGCTTGGCTCCTGCAGGGGACTGGGGCACAGAGAGTGGAGGGGGCTTGGGATCAGAGCCCAGCCTCTGCCTTCCCACACCCATGTGTCCCCTGGCCAGAGTGGCTCTGGCCTTGCCTGTGTGCCACCTCACACCAGGCACCAGGGTGACCCGGCCCAGTAGCCTCAGGACTCAGAGTTAATTCCAGAGGACAGGTGAGAGGAGGTTCCCAAATTGTAGTGAGAGCTTACGCAGTGACAAGCCTTCCCTCACTGTGTGGGTGAGTGGCCCGGGGTCAGTCCCTGTCCCCCCCCCCCCCAAGCTATAGCCACACTGGACAGCCTGGACTCCCCTTGATACGGTGCCTCCCAGCCCCCTGCCTTTTGTGTCTGCTGTGCCGTCTTCCTGGAGGGCCTGTTCCCTCCCCTTTCCCTTGGGGGTGGGGGTAAGTGTGGGGACTCTGAGGGTTGGGCTCCTGGCTCTGACCCCACGTGGGTGGCCGTGCAGGTTTAACAAGCTGGCCGTGGGCTCTGTGGTGGAAAGTGCCTTCCGGAGGCTGAAGCACCTGCAGGTCTTGGACATAGAAGGCAACTTTGAGTTTGGTGACGTTTCCAAGGACCGGGATCGATTGAAAGAGGAGGAGGAAGAAGAGGAGGAGGACGAGGAGGATGAGGATGAGGAGGAAGAGGAAAGGCGATAGTGACCAGGTGAATGGGATCTGACATAGGTGGGTGGTCTGTGTGGGGTACACTCACCTCTCCTCGCCAGTGTCTTCTCCCTGACCCACCTAGGGTCTTCCTGTCCATTTTTCACCCTTGTCCCCGGGTCACCGATCATTGTGTAAACCTGTAAGAGCATTTGGTGTGCGCCAGGCTGTGGGTGGGAGGCCAGGTATAATAGCAAGCCCATGGAGGCAGCCTGTGCGGGGGATTCTCTGCAGGGAGATGAGTGCCCTGATGGGTCCCACACAGGGCCTGATGTGGTGGAAGCAGGGAGTGGTGTGAGGGCCCAGGCAGAGGCCACTGCTGTAATATCAGCCAGAGAGTATGGGGCAGGAGGTGAGGACACAGACAAGCAGATGGGCCTGAAAGGGATTGGGGAGGCCGACTTCACATGGGGTGAGGGAGAGACAAGGCCCAGGTTCGAGCTTGGCAGTGAGGGTGGATGAGAAGGGGAATGTTGAGTTGAGGGGCCTGAAAGTCGCTGGGAGAGGTGCCCAAGGATGGGTTGGATATATGGGACTGGGGTTCAGAAGTGAGGTCTGAGCTGGAGGTGGCATCCAGACATCATCAGCCTGGAACAGTCACTGTGGCTGCAGGAGGTCAGAGAGCTTGGGAGGGAGAAAGAAGGCAGGGCCCGGGGGAGGGGAGCCTGCAGAAGGGGCTGAAATAGAGCAGCTGGGGAAGGAAGTAGGAAAGCCACAGACAGCCCAGATCAGAGGGTGTTTACACATGCATGTAACATAAGCACCCGCACATATATGCAGTGCACAATACACATACCCATGCATACAAGTGTAAACATGCATGCACACCCACAAAGCACATATTCATGGAACACACACTGCACACATGCACACACACACATTTACAGATGTGGAACATGTGCACACATGCATCCCCACACACGCGACCCCTCCCTTATGTGCACACACATGTATACACACACGTTATGTATACATACATGTTATGCATGCATGCACAGTGGGGAGAATCAGCTGTGTCAGTGCTGCTGAGAGGCTGCTGGAGCTGAGCACTGCCAAGGGCCCACTGCGTGTATCCATGACCTTGTGGGGAGCAGCCTCGGGACAGGGGTGGAGAAAGTGGTGGAAAGGAGTGGATCCAGGGAGCGTAGACAACTCTATGAAGAGGTTTGCTGTGAAGAGATGAGAGAGGATGGGAGTGGGAAGGAGTGAGAAGTCCAGGCAGGGCTCAGTTCATGTGGGGCCTTTTTTAAGGAATGGGGCTGGTTTGAATGGTGATGGGGAAGGGCTGCTGTGGAGGGAGGCATTAAAGATATGAGAGGAGAGCAGGGTGTCGTGGTGACCCCTGTGGAAACAGTAGGAGGGACTGGCTTTGTAGGAGGGTCAATGGCAGGATGGACAGAGGACTGAGCAGCTGCAGTCACAGGTTAGTGGCTTGGTGGCTGGACATAAAGTCACGTCAATCAGGTGCCTTCAGCCGTGTGTTTTCTCTGCTGCAGCGGGTGCTCAGGAGACGGGGTGGGTGTGAGTGAAGATGGATAATTGGATCCATCCATGGCTGGGTTTTGGACCAGGTACGTGGGACAGGAGGGCAAGGAACAAGGAAATTGAGCGCATTGGCAAGACACTGTCCGCAGTGGTGGATCCTGGGGTTAGGCTGGGAGGGAAGGAGGTGCAGACAGGAGGGGTTGGTAGGCAGAACTGCTGGAGGGGGATGTTGGACAGGGCAGGGGGGATGTTGGCGAGTAGCCAATGGAGAGGTTTGGTTAGAGCGATATCGGGGTGAGCCAAGCTGGGTGTCAGGGCCAGGGTGTGGTTCTGGGAAGCCACGGAGACACTCTTAGGAAGTTGAATTGAAGTAGGGCCTGGGGCAGAAAGGAACCTGAGGGGTGTGAGGACCCCAGGGGCGGATGACAGGTGGAGAGAGGAGTGTGCGGTGGTGTGAGCGTGGAGGGCAGGCCTAGGGCAGTGCTCAGGAGTCATCTTCTACTCCAGGGGCCCAGGGCTATGAAGGTGGAGCCCCTTCTCTCCAGGCATTATCCTCAGGCAGAGCGAGGTGTCGGCAACAGGGGTGACTGTTGCCATGGACCTCACGAGGGGCCTGGGGAGTCCGGGGATGGGTGAGAACTGCCCCTTCTTGGCCATGGGCAGGTCAGTGGAGCAGAGCCCTGGGTGAGGCCCCAGGAGTCCAGTGGGACCCAAAGGCCCCCTAGTTCATAGTAGGCCCGGCCACATCAGCATGAGCACCTCCCAGTGGCTCTGAACTCCCAGGGGCAGCTTCCCCACCTGCCCACAGTCACCTGGTCCCCCCAGGACACTGTCAAAGGGGTTCCCCAGCTCTGATTAAGGGGCTCCCTCAGGCAGGTGTGGCTGGCGGGTCTGCTCTGGCTTCCCTGACTCTCCCACATGTTCTGCAGGACGATGGACATCGGCCCCCTTTCTGCAGCACGTGCCTGTGCCCTGTGAGCCTCCACTCTGCCACCCTCGACACATCCAGCATTGCACCCCCATGCCCCCCAACACAAACTGAACACACTGTCTCCCGTCCCGACACCTTCCTGCAGTTTGTGCCACAGCCAGACACTTGCAGATACCACGACCCACCTACACACAGCCCGCTGCACATTGCCCTCCAAACTCTACCCTCCCCACTTCTGAATCACACAGATTCAGGGAAGGGCCTGACCCCACCCTGGCGTGCACGGGCTCACACTTCCTACTCCACACACACGCATGCACACGCACACACGCACACACGCACGCACGCACGCACACACAGTCACATGCAAACAGCCCTCCTTGGCCTATGCCACAACAGCTCTTGCCCTAGCCAGAAGTGGCCAGAACATCTTGTCACCTGCCTGTCCGTCAGTCTGTCCATCCTCTGGAGAAGACACAGAGTTATGTCCGAGCTCTCTGCGGCCAGGTGCCTACTACCCTCTGGAACTCACAAAAGCTGGCTTTTGTTCCTTCTCCCTCCCTCTGGGGACGGGAACCTTCAGGACTGCTGCCCCGGCCCCACCCGCCCTGCCCCCAGCTGCTGGGGGAGTCACTCCCTGCCATTCCCTGGCCAGCCACAGGTACGTCTTGGATGGGCAAGGCCAGAGGACAGTTCTCCTGGGCCTGCCACGGTCCATGGGCAGGAGTGAGTGGAGGTCCTGGCGCTGGGCTGAGTGAGGAAGGGCCGGCCCCACCCAGGAGACACCACTTTTACTCTTCGGGCCCGCAGGGAGTGCTGGGTACCTTTTTTTTTTTTTTAAGAAAAAAGTGAAAACCTCAAAGCTGATTTTTTTTTCTACAGAAAAACTAATATAAAAGCATTAGCCCTGTCTGGCAGCCCGTGGCTGTGTCTGTTTGTGCTTCCTGCCAGGTGCTGAGCTGGCACCCGGCCAGGGTGGGCAGGACACAAGCATCTCAGCACCCGTCCAGACCAGCAGGAGTCAGTGCAAAGCTCAGCCCTTGGGGCCAACAGAGTAGTCCCGTAGGCAGAGGTCTGGGGACAAAGGGTGTAGTCACAGGAAAGCCAGCCTGAAGGCATGTGCGCCCCATCAGCAGGGTGGGGGTCAGCAGGTCCAGTGGGTCTGTGAGCTCACTGTGCACTCCCAGAGGCTGAGCATCCGAGCAAAGGACCGACGGTGGCTGTGGGCTGCTCAGGGCTCACCTGGAGGGTCGCCTGTGCGCTGAGTGGACATTCCCGACGGGGTCTGTCCCATAGAGGACAGCTGAGGTGGGAAGGGGACCCGAGACAGGCCTGGGAGCTGGAGCAGAGCCTTGGGAAGAGGTGCAGACGTGCCCAGGTGCCTACCACCCCAACAGGGCCAGAGCAGGATGGGGTGTGGTGGGGACAGCACCTGCTCAGAGCAGAGAAGAGTCTGACAGGCAGAGCTGCCCTGGATGGATGCCCAGGAGTCAGTGACCCCGCTGCTAGGGTGTGTAAGCACACTGCTGGGGCAGACTCCACTGCTCAGAGGGCCTTAGGCCTGACGGTGGGCGTGACCAGAGCGGGACATCTGACCTGTCCTAGCTGCTTATCCCTAATGAAGGCAGGATGTTCCCATAGTAGGCAGGGGATCCTCAGACAATGGCCCTGGGAGGAGGGTGGGAAGTAGTTCAGGAACTGGGGACTGGGAGGCAGGTGCCTTCTTGATTCTCTGAGTGACCTTGGGAGGCCTGTTCCTCCCCTGGCTTCAATGTCTTTATGGCTCCACAGTGCAAGCCCCTCCCCCCACTCCTCCCCCACCCCCCGGAGCTGTATCTTCTCCCCAAAGTACATCTGGAACAGGCTGTGTGGCCAGGGTTCATCTCTGCCGCTGCGCCCGCCCCTCCCCCCCAAGCCTCCTGGAGGTCCTCTGGGGCTGAGGAGAATAAAGGACACAGTCTGGAACTGTCCTTGGGCATGTCCCTTCCTTAAAGCAAAGCACTTGCCAAAGGGAGCCCAACTGGCTGAAGAAATTGTTCCTTTTGTGGGGACTGGTTGCAGGGCCTTGCCTGCAGAGCAAAGCCCAGGCTAGGGACAGAGCGATCTGCCCACGCTGGCTGTGGAGACAGGCCCCCGAAGGCCGGTCTGCACTCTGCCTCCTGCGTGTGACAGCTCCGACAGGCTGTCCTCACTGCGGCCGCCCGGGCGGGCCCATCTGCGCCCTGGCCTCGCGGGCAGGCCCGTCCACAGACCGACAGCCCGGACAGGCCTGTCTGCATTCTAGCTGCAAGGACAAGCCTGTTTATTGTCTGGCCACCTGGACAGGCCTGTCCGCGCTCTGGCTGCCCAGACGGCCAGTCTGCACGGTGACAGCCTGTGTTGGCTCAGTGAAGACATGCTGGCCAGAGTATGGTTGCTAAGCCCTCAGAACTTGGAAAACAAAATAGCTTTATGGAGTCATCTCTGAGTTTGCAAGCACAGAAGAGTATAAAATCTAACTCCACTTCATCTCACAGGCTGCTGGGGAGTCCTGACCCCAGAGCCACTTGGGCAGCTTGGGCAGAGCATCCCAGGTGAGCCCGTTCCTGGGTCCCGGCTGGCCCCTGTCAGTGGGAGATTGGTCCGGACGTCTCCAAGGGCCCCGTCTCCACCTCAGATGAGCTTAGCGAGAGATCCTGCTGGGACGTGAGGAGACGGGCCGTGGCACATGGAAGGCAGCAGGCCTTGGTCCTGGGTGGGGGCCCCCTTTGGGGAGGGCTGTTCGAGGCCACATGTTATGGGGCGGCGGGAGGGCTGGCTGGGCTGGGACACAGGGGTAGACCCGGGGCACTGTTGTTACGTCTTCAGAAATTGAAAGCAGTGGTGGCTGCGGGGCTCTGAGACGGGGCAGGGCCCCTAGAGCCTCTCTTGGCATCTGGCCCTGCAGGTGCCCCTGCCTCCAGGAGGGCCTGGCCAGGGCTTGAAAGTCTTGTGTTGGAGTCCTAGCCCTGACTTGCTCTGAGGCCTGGGATAAATGTGTTCAGCCTTAACCCTGTCATCCAGAAAAGATGGACCCTCACCCCTGCCTGCTGTCCTCACGGGCCAACGTGATGGGAAGTCACAGCCAGGGCTGGCTACGCCGGCCCACCACTCCCCAGCTGGGGTTTCCCTCTGAGACTCCACTTTTGGTAAATGGAGCGAATTCCGAGCTCTCCGGGTGGGAAGAATGGGTGAGGCTGGCCCCTGTGTGCTCAGGAAGGCAGTAAGTTGAAATCCTTCCCTTTGCTCCAACCCTGGAGGCCTCCCCTGGCCCCTGCGGCTCTGCAGGCTCAGACATTGGTCTCGAGCTCGCTGATTTCTATGGTGCAGTGGTCCAGGCCGGCGGCAGCCGGCTCCTCCTCCTGCTCCACCTGGATGGGGACATGGTGGGGACAGGTGGGGCCCAGGGTCAGCTCGGAAGCCTCCGCCACGCTCTTCACACAGCCGTTCTGCTGGGTCGCCATGATCTCCTGCAGGCTCACCGGCTTGGTCTCGCAGGGCGGCGCTTTCTGAGGAGGGAGACAGGCCTTGGTAGCAGGTGGAGGGGCGGAGGGTAGGCACCAGGGAGGACTGAACAAGCGAGGGCTGGGAACCACATGGTCGGTTTTCCTACGGATGTACTGTGGGACCTCGGCAGGTCACGGGGCCTCCCTCGGCTGCCCTGCCACCGCCTGCGGCTGTCGTGGTAGAGGAGGGGACCTGACCTACAGGGTCCACGAGGGAACCGGGCCCCTGCCTGGGCCCCAGCATCCTCCTGGCGGAGTGGGAGCCTGCTGCTCATGGCCACTGAAGGAGCCCGAAGACCATGAAGCCCGTGCGGATGTGCAAACATTCGCGTTGCTGTGGGCAGTGCCACCCGCCCTAGGGTACAGCTCCCCGCGGGCAGGGCTCTGGCTTCCTTTGTTCCTGTGTCTAGAGCAGGGCCAGCCATGGTGGGTGCTCAACAACTAGCTGTGAGAGGAGTTAGTCACCCCGGTACCAGATGAGAAACTGAGGCAGGGAGGCGGGAGGGATTGGCTGGTGGCTCCCCGGCTGGTGAGTGGAAGATTGGTGCCCATCCCACCTGGGCTCCACCCGCCAGGGCCTTTGGGTGGCCAGGCTGGGGGGAGGCACTGCTCTCACCTCGGTGTCCCTGTCCTGAGCGAAGTCCTTCCGGCAGATGTGGGCCATGATCCCCGCGGCCAGCGCATCCCCCAGCACGTTAATCATGGTGCGGAAGCGGTCCCTGGTGGTGGCGAGCGGTGGGCACTCGTAAGGAGAGCCGGGAGAGGGCAGCGCCCAGACCAGCAGCCCCTGAGGGCACCAGCTGCCAGGGCAGAGCCCACAGCGAGGCGCTCTCCTAGTCCTCTCAAGCCCACCCCTCCCTCAGGGATGTTGAGGCGGGTTGATGCAGGGCGGGCTTGATGGTGGGTGACCGGACGCCGCACAGGGCCTGTGCTAAGCAGGGCCCAGGCTTGGTTTCACGGTTTGCTCTCACCCTCTTGAAATCCCTTATAATTTGTAAACAAGGGACCCCACATTTTCGTTTTTGAAAACTGGGCTCTACAAATTATGCAGCCAGGCCAGAGCCATTGCCTCTGTAGGTTTCCAGGAAGCTGTGCCAAAGTAGGGTATTTTCCCCTGCCTACCCCAAAGCCCGCTGCCTGCCGGGTGAGGGCGGGAGGGGTGCACCCCACTCACAGAGCCCAGTCGACAGCAATGATGAGGGTGATGTCGTCCGTGGGCAGGCCCACAGAGGTGAGCACGATGACCATGGTGACGAGCCCGGCCTGGGGGATGCCAGCTGCCCCGATGCTGGCTGCGGTGGCTGTGATGCTGCAGAGGGTGGGAGAGGAGGAGGAGAGAGAAGCAGGGGGGGCAGGCTGCCTTGTTGGGACCCTCGCTCCAAAGGGGAGGCCAGAATGCCAGCACCTCTGTGGCCAGCCAAACAGGGCAGGGTTGTTAGGAAGGCCACATCAAGGAGTTCTTGGGGGGACACGTTCCTGCTTGAGGTCCTATAGCCCCATGGGCCCCACACGTGGCCTCAGCAGGACCCCCTGACGAATCTGTGGGAAACCCTGTGCCTGGAGCCGTTGCCAGGAAGGTTTCCAGGAAGCTGCCCAGAGATTCTGATCTGCCCAGCCTCCCTCAGGGGCCTGGTGCCCAGGGTCAGCCTTGTACCCTCAGGCTGGCATGCGAGGCCTTCCCTCAGCCTCTGCCCCTCACCTCAGCACCCTTCCCTCTGCTCCAGCCACACCAGCAGCCCCTCCAGCATCCCGCCCAGGCTTCTGCCCCCTCTCTGCCCTGCGCGTCCAGAATGCAGGCCCTCCTCTGGGTCTCAGCTCCCATCCTGCAGGGCAGCGTTGGGGTGGGGGTGGGGGGTTGGGGGGAGCCTGTGCCACCAGTCTCAGAGATCAGGTCACGTCCCACCCCAGCGCTGTCGTGGCCTAAAAGGAGCCCCTCACCCTCTCTGGGCCTCAGAGACCCTATCAGATCAGGGAGCTTGAGCATCCTCCAGGCCCTCCCAGGAGTCACCCTCCCACCCCAATCCCCCCGGGCTGGGGGGCACCAGGAGTGCACCTGATGGTGATGATCTGGCCGAAGTCCAGCTCATAGTTGTTGACCTGGGCGATGAAGATGGCAGCCACCGCCTCGTAGAGCGCAGTGCCGTCCATGTTGATGGTGGCGCCCACGGGCAGCACGAAGCGGGCGATGCGCCGGTCAATGTGGTTGTTCTCCAGCAGGCACTTGAAGGTGATGGGCAGTGTGGCCGAGCTGTGGGCGGAGGGGCCAGCGTCTGCCCTCCATCCTCCTCCAGGATGGTCAGGGCCTCTGGGTTGCCCTCCTGCCAGTGACAGGAAGCTCGTGCCACCCCAGGCAGCCAGCCCATCGCAGGGAGAACAGGCTGAAGGGGCCTTGAAAATGGTCCCTTTGGGAGTGTGGGACGGCGGTGGAGCCAGGCCTACCCAGGCCCTGGGCCTCAGAGACACCCCTCTACACACAGGTCAGGAAGGGACCTACTATGCGCCTGGTTCCGTGCTTTACACACACTCTCATTTGATCCTCATAGCTTCCGGCAAAGGAGGGGTTTTGAGTCCATTTTACAGATGAAGAAACTTCAGCCCAGAGGGCGGAGGGGCTGACTCGAAGTCATACTGCTGTGCCAAGCGTAGGAGTGGCTAACAGCGGGGCTCTGGGCTGGACCTGCTGGGTTCAGCTTCCAGCCTCCTCCTCGCCAGTGGCAGCAGGACCCCTAACCTGTGTGTGCCTTAGTTTCCTTGTCCCAGGGCGGGAGAACGCCTGGATTCAGCTCTTAGGGTGCTGTAACGAGCAAGCGCTTAGAGTCGTGTCCGCCTCATCGCAAGTACTCAAGCAATGGTAGCTACTAGTGCTGTTACTGTTTTGTTACTGGAGCTCCTGGTAGCAGTGCTGGGGCCAATACCTGGGTGGGTGTGGCTGCAGAGCCCTTCCCATCCCACAGGTCACTGACTGGGGACCCCACTTCCTCTTGCCGGGCCCAAGGTTGTGGTTCCTGTCGGGCAGGTGGCCAAGGGCTGCTCTGTGTGGAAGCCAACCCCCATGTGGATTGAGGGGGGGAGGGGAAGGCCTCAAGAGGTGATAAAGGCTTTCTGCCATTTGGGCAGGTGGGGCCTTAAGCATTACATTTCAAAAATTGGTCTTGTTACCATAGCTACCCCCAAGTGTGTGAAGCAGGCCTTACTGACACCTCCACGCGTCTATGGCCATGGATAAATGATGACTGAACAGGTGGACAGAGTTGAGCACCACCCTGTTCTGCCTGCACCCAGGGCTACCTGGAGG